CTGGGGGCCTGGACTCCTGGGTCTGAGGGAGGAGGGGGCTGGGGGCCCTCACTCCTGGGTTGGAGGGAGCTGGGGGCCTGGACTCCTGGGTCTGAGGGAGGGGGGTACTGGGGGGTCTGGACTGCTGGGTCTGAGGGAGGAGGGGGCTGGGGGCCTAGACTCCTGGGTCTGAGGGAGGAGGGGGCTGGGGGCCTGGACTGCTGGGTCTAAAGGAAGAGAGGACAGGAGTAGGATCTCCTGACCCTAAGGAGGAGGGCCTGGGGTCTCACCCTGGCCTTGAGCAGTCGCTCTCTCTCTGCCACAGCCTGCTGCAGGAGCCGCTCCATGCGGGCGATGTCTGGGTGGAGGGCCCGACAGCTGGCAGGAGGGAAGAGAGACCGGGGCAAGTTACAGTGGCCCAGCCTCTTCCCACCTCCCCACCTTCTCCCTCCCTGACATCTCACCTGTTCCCAGGGCCACAGTTCAGCAGCTGATAGAGCGGATGTCTTCCAGAGTCTCCTGATGCTGCTGGGAGGGCTGAAGCCTCCAGGGGTCCTGGGAAAGAAGGACTGGGGCTAGGGGGCCAGGATTCTGCCTTGTCCAAGCCCCCCCCACCTCCACCCACAGAATCCACCCAAGGCTGGATTCCTCCAGCCTTGCTGCAGGAAGGGCGGTGATAGGGGAGGAGGTCCGTGGGATTGGGAGGGACCCTCACCTGTATAATGAAGGGACAGAGGTCGGGGGGATCCCCTCTGGCTCGCTCGCTCTCCCCTCTTCCGGGGCAGGCTTCCAGTCCTCTGGAGGCCTATGGAGCCCTGAAAACACACAGGCCCATGCATTCAGGAGGAGGGGCTCAATCTCAACCATCAGTTGGAGGGCTGCTGAGGGAAACCAGTAGCTCCCTGGCTCAGGTCAGAAAGCGACTACAAACGTGATGCTGGGGGAAAGCAGCTAGTCACAGAGGACCGCACAGGGCAACGTGCGAATGGGCAGATCTGGAGATGGGAAGCAGGTGAGTGGTTGCCGGGGCGTGGGGGGAGGAGAGGGACTGAGGGGGGGAGAGCTGGACGATGCAGGGTGTCTTCTGGGCGTGATGAAATGCTCTGAATGTACGAAACCCCACTGAACCGTACACTTCAAATGGGTGAACTGCAGTGCGGGTGAATTACATCTCGATAAAACTGTAAAAATTTTTTTAAAAGCCTATCACGGCGTGGCCGTGGAAAACCCACATGCTCTTCCACAGTGCTGGGTTTGTGGGGGGGCGGTTCCTACGGGAATAACATTTCTAGAGACCACTTTAGCTCTTTTTATTTTTAAAATGGCAAATGCCTGGGATGCCTGGTTGGCTCAGTTGGTTAAGTCGCAGCCTTTGGCTCAGGTCATGATCCCAGCGCCTGGGATCGAGCCCCGCATTGGGCTCTCTGCTCAGCGGGGAGCCTGCTTCCCCGACTCTGTCTGCCTGCCTGTCTGCCTACTTGTGTGCTCTCTCTCTCTCTCTGACAAATAAATAAATAAAATCTTTAAAAATAAAATAAAATAAAATGGCAAATGCCTAAATGTTTGAGCCCCAACTCCACTTCTAGGACAATATCCTACAGACAACACTCGTCCATGGGAGCGGAGTTGGAATTGAGCTGGAGGTGATTCCCTGCCACGGCTGGGGAACGACCCAAGTGGCCATCAGAAGGAGGGGAAGTGTATAAACCAGTTGTCATCCATGCCCCAGGCATGTCTGTGGCGTGTGAAAGGAGGGGAATGCTCTTTCTAGCCAGACAGGGAACATTCTCCAAGACACAAGCAAGTGCAGAGCAGCCTAAAGATTACACTAGCTCTGCATAAAAAGATGACCAATAGGGGCGTCTGGGTGGTTCAGTCGTTAGGCATCTGCCTTCAGCTCAGGTCATGATCGAGTGGGATCGAGTCCTGCATTGGGCTCTCTGCTCAGTGGGAGCCTGCTTCTCCCTCTCCCACTCCCCCAGCTTGTGTTCGTCTCTTGCTGTCTCTGTCAAATAAATAAATCTTTTTTTAAAAAATGACCAAAGTATATTCACGACAGACTGTATAAATACTGAGTAGTTCTGGGAAGACTTGAGAAACTGGTAATCCGGGGCTGCCCAAAGGACATGAACGCAATGGATGGAGACGATGAGGGAAGAGCCATCTCTCCAAATATCTTGCCATACCTTCCTCCAACTTTGAACTACGGGAATGTTGGCTTTTAAAAAAATAAATAAACATGACAAGCAAATGTAGCCTGTGCTCCTCGGGCCCCAAAAATGGGGACTTTGTTTTGTTTTTGCTAGAAAAAACAATAGGGGGACAGCTGACAAAATATGAATAAGATCTGGTTATCTCAATAATATTATCTCAATGTTAGTTTCCTGAATTTGATCACTGCAGTGTGGTTATGTAGGAGAGTGGCCTTGACCTTGGGTAATAAATGTAGAAGTATTTAGGGGTAAGGGGAAATCACGCTTTGAGAAGAACAATAAAATGTGTGTGTGTGTGTGTGTGTTTACAGAGAGAGAGAATAATAAAGCAAATGTCCAGTGTGGTAAAATGTTAATTACAGAATCTGAAAGCCAAGAATACAGGTATTCTTTCTACTGTTTCTGCAATTTTTCTGTAAGTCTTATATTATTTTAAAGTAAAAAGTTACCAAAAGATGAAAATTTGAGAGTAATTTGTAATTTATAATAATACTCTCTTGACGGTAATAAAGAAATAAAACTGAATTAAAAAAAAAAAAACACGGGGCACCGGGGTGGCTCAGTGGGTTAAAGCCTCTGCCTTCAGCTCAGGTCATGGTCCCGGGGTCCTGGGATCGAGCCCTGCATCTGGCTCTCTGCTCGGGGGGGAGCCTGCTTCCTCCTCTCTCTCTCTCTCTGCTTGCCTCTCTGCCTACTTGTGATCTCTGTCTATCAAACAGATAAACAAAATCTTAAAAAAAAACAACAAACACAACTCTGCATGGGTAACGAAGAATAGAAATGGGGCGTCTGGCCAGCTCAGTGGGAAGAGCACACAGCTCTTGATCTTGGGGTTGTGAGTTCGAGTCCCACGCTGGGTGTGAAGATTACTTAAAAAATAAAAAAAGAAGAAAAATAAAAAAAGGAATAATCAAAATAAAAATAACACCTTGCATAATGTGAGCACCAATAAGGATACTCACTGCTATAGATCACAACTCAAATATATTTAATCCGTGAGCTAATGACAGAAAAGGAAAAAATCGAATTGGTTACCTTGGGAAGAGTGCAACCCAAGCAACTGTTTATTTTGAAGACAGGTGAACAAAGTGAAAACAGCAAGCGTGTGTCCTGTGTTTTCCTGGGTAACCAAATAGCAGAGGAAGGCAAGTCTTTCTCTACCGAAGTATTTCAACGAATAGATGAGGAAGAATAAGGGAATTTTATTTATTTATTTGAGAGAGAGAGCATGCGTGCAAGCAGGATAGAGGGCAGAGGGAGAAGGAGACTCCCCGCTGAGAAGGGAGCCAGAGGTGGAGCTCGATCCCAGGACCTCCCAGGATCATGACCTGAGCCAAAGGCAGATGCTTAACTGACTGAGCCACCCAGGCGCCCCAAGGAGGAATAACAGACTGGAATTTTGCCACTCGAGACCGCTCCCAGACAAACAGATGAAGGCAGCCACTCCAGAGACACAGAAACAGAGAAACAGGCACATGGCCCCCAGCAAGACTTGCAAAATGCTGACCCTGCCTCTGCTCGGGCCCCACAGCCAACTTCCTGGGAAACAGAAGAGATGTGACCGTGACCATGAGGTGACCATGACCCCCACGACGCTGTCAGAAAACCCTGCCTGGGAAACTCTGCAGGACGGCCATCTGGTTTCTTCACCAAATAAATTGCAAGGGGGACAAGAAAAGGAAACAGAGAGGAAGTCTATAGAGACTTAAAATATGCAGCCACAAAAAAATAAAAAACAAAGGTAAGAGTAAACTATGGTGTTTCGGGACAGACACTGAATTGATTGAACTTTGAAGAAATGTGAGGAGGAGATGCTAGAATGTCAGGCCAGTGGTCCTCCTCCGGGAGGCGGGTGGGGTTATCATTCAGGGGCCCGTGGAATGTTTCCGGAGTGGCTGCCAGTGTTGCCTCCTGACACAGCTGGCAGCTCCAGAATGTTCCCATGTAATAATTAAGCTGGGCATATGTTCCATGTGATTTTCTGCACCAGTGTTATCTTTAAAAAAAAAAAAAAAGTTGGACAAAATAGTAACAGCCAGGATTTGTCAAGTGCTCATGCCATGCCTCACGGTCTACCTGGCACCCTGCAGAGCCATGGAAGCTTCTAGAAGCCTGGGGAGTTGGGAAAGTTTCGCTCCCCTCTACAGGGACGACACCAAGTCCTGAGCCCCTGGGCCCCTTTGGGCTTTCCTTGCTTCAGCTGCTATCCCCAGCACTTCCTAGCTGAGACCTGAGATGCCTGGTAGAGGAAACAGGTGGAGGGTGGGGGGCAGGGGGACCCAAGCCCCATCTGCACAGCGCTTATGTTGTAGAAACTGAGTAAACCATCATACAAATAACTGTATCATCAGAAACAGCTGTGAGCAAAGAGAATAAAGTGTCGTTAAGATAGGATCGGCTTCCTACTGAAAGACCGGGGACAGCCTTCTGGACACTGACCCCAAGGCCCAAAGAATGAGAATGGGCCAGGGAAGACTGAGGGGAACAGTGTCCCAGGTAGAAGGATCAGCAAATGCAAAGGGCCTGAGGCAGGAGCAAGTATGGAAAGTTGGCAGGTCAGGGCTCCTGCAGCTAAAGCAGAGAGTATGTAGGGGACAGTGGTGAGAGGTGGGCCAGGGCCAGATCATGCAGGGACCCACTCGCTGACGTGAGGAGGCTCAGGGGACCACTGACAGCGTTAGGTGGGGGAGGACTGAAGCAGGAGGGGTAGAGATCACTCCGGCTGTTGTGCAGGGAAGAGACTGCTGGGAGACAAAGATTAAGGTGGAGACTTTCAGTGAAAAGGCTGATCTAGGGTCACAGAACCAGAGATGAGAGGGGCAGTGGGTAGCAGAAGGGCGCTAGTAATTATAATAATACCAGTAACTGTAAAGATAATCAGAGCAAGAGCAGCACATTCTCTAAACCCCTCCCGTGTGCCACGCATGGTGCTAAGCTCCGTAGCCACCAACCAGTGCCTGCCGTTACTTCGCCCATTTGGCAGCTAAGTACACTGAGGCACAGAGACGCGACCCCCTTGTCTCCTGAAAGGCACCAGTCATGGAAAACAGGCAGACTTGGCTCAGATCTAGTTCTGCCACTTCCTGGGGCTGTGACTTTGGCAATTCCTGTCTTCTCAGCTTAAGATCCGGCCCCCCCACCCGTAGAGTGGGTAACTAGTCCTACCACCCTGCATGGCTGACCCAGAGATTATGAGTGACCTGGTGTAAAGCACGGAGGAGTGTCCCCCAGGTGGCACCCAGGTGCCAGGTGGGTACGGGATCCCCGGCCGCGGGCACAGGGTCCACGCGAGCCAAGAACTCCGGTAACAGCTCCATAGGAATGAACGTGGCTTCCGGGCAAGTACCTTTGGGGGAGGCAATTTAAGGGTCATATTTACCGTAAGTCGTGCTGCCTGGCAACACGGCTGACCCTTCATCTTTTTCTGGCTGCCAGGGCAACCAGCTGGAAAGTGAATTTCCTAGACAGGAAGTCTGCAAACCCTTTACCCACGTAATAACGGGACCTACTTTGGGGGGTTCTTCCGAGCGAAGAATGAAATATTTTCGTTGTATAGACAAGATTTCATGATACAGATCTAGGGTTGAACACGTCACACTGCCAACGTATAGGGCTGCTTCTCATGCCAAATGATAGCAACTCCATGCTTCAGAGTGATAAAATGGGGGGGGGCGCCTGGGGGGGCTCAGGCGGTGAAGTGGCGGCCTTCCACTCAGGTCGTGATCCTGGGGTCCTGGAATCGAGTCCCCTTCGGGCTCCCTGGCCTGCTTCTCCCACTGCCTGCTGCTCCTGGGCTTGTGATCTCTCCCTCTCTCACAAATAAATAAATAAAATCTTAAAAAAAAAAAAAAAAAGAGGGGCGCCTGGGTGGCTCAGTCTGTTGAGCGTCTGCCTTCATCTGGGGTCACCATCTCAGGGTCTTGCAATGGAGTCCTGCTCAGCGGGAAGCCTGTTTCTTCCTCTCATCCCCACTCATGGTCTGTCTCGCAATCTATACCTCTCTCTCAAATAAATAAATAAAATCTTAAAAAAAAATGACAAAATGGCTTAAAATGGTCTACCTTAAGCTCTCAAAAATCATGATCATTATTAATATTGCCTAACATTAATTAATAAACAAGAAATAATATATAGTATGTATTACAGTAATATTATACATAGTATATAATGGCATCAGACAATAGAATAATGTTAACAATAATTAACATTAACTGATATTATTACTGGGTATATGAGAAAGGACACAGGCACACGCAGGGTTCATAACAGCGATGCTTAGACTACAAAAGCCTTGAATCCCCATTGGCAGAGGGAGGGCTGGGTCAGCGCCCTTGTGTAGACTTCTGTGCCCCCCTGCTGCCACCCCCCAGCCCCAGGGGAGCCTGGAGAGGTCTGATACTGACACCAGTGCCTGGGTTCCAATCCCAGCCCTGCTGAATTCCAGCTACTTAAATACCTTCACCTCTCTGCCTCGGTTTCCTTACCTATGAAACGGACACAAGGACCCAGTCAGCAGTATGGGTACAAAGACCAAATGAGCGAATCCGAGTGAGGCACTTAAAACAGTGCCCTGCAGGCTCTAAGGACTCACCAAATGTCAGCTGTCACTTCTCTTCCTGTTTACAGCCTTATCATGAGAGCCATTAAACATGACGAGGCAGCTCTAAATGGATCAATAGAAAACCGTCTCTGCGATAGAGCGTTAATTGGGAAATCAAAGCCAACGAAGAGCTTGTATACACATTTTTGAAAAAAAGTTTGCATCAGAGCCATCAATTTCGGGGCACCTGGGTGGCTCAGTGGGTTAAGCATCTGCCTTTGGCTCAGGTCATGATCCCAGAGTCCCGGGATCAAGCCCCACGTTGCAGGTGGGGTGGGGCAGTGATGGGCTGGGGGGACCCTGCTGAGCAGGGAGCCTGTTTCTCCCTCCCACTCCTCCCCACTGCTGTTCGCTCTCCATCTCTCGCTTTCTCTTTCAAGTAAATAAATAAGATCTTAAAACACACACACACACACACACACACACACACACACACACAAAACAGTAGAAAAGAAAAAGAAACAAGCAGCCATGCTGGGGACAGGGGCTGTGGGCCAGCAGGGTGCACAGAGAGGGCCTTCCTATCAATAGGCCCTGCATGGCTGCTTTTACAAGTTACTGCTGGGCACACCCAGTCCCATTCTGCCAGGGGAGCGGTGGGGTGTTAGCCAGGAGAGAGAAAATCAGTAAGTAAAGCTTCAGCCTAATAAAAATCAAAATACCCCTCATTCATCCTTCCCTCTGCCCCAGGTCCCCACGTGGAGAAAGCCACAAGGAAAGTTCCGGATGCAAGAGTGACAGTGAGACAGTGGCATAGGGAGCTGAGGCAGGCAGGGCCGTACCTGCAGGGAGCTGCGAACGGAGAAGAGGCAGGAGGAAGTGGCGGAGGTTGTGTGGGCGGTGGGGTCCTGAAGCACCAGCAGCTGGCGGTCTGTCTTCTGGGTGAACAGGAGCTTTAGGAGAGGGGTTGAAGGTTAGCGGGAGCTGGAAGGATCACAGAGGGCCCACCAGTTCCCAGAAGCTCTGGCCCTGGTCTCCAGTGTCAGCCCATTTCTCAGATGGAAAAACAAAGGCTTCAGGTCACAAGAGGGCTGGACCGTGGTCTTAGCGGAGCGAGGACTGTGGGCCAGACCACAGGTTCCTAAAGAAAGGGGGGCTGGAGGCCTGAACTCTTGGGTCCCAAAGGTGAAACGGTTTAGGGCCTGAGAATTGTGGAGAAGGGAGAAGGGGTTGGTGGGCCTAGACTCCTGAGGGAGGAGGGAGGAGGAAGAGGTTGGGGGATGGACTTCTGGGTCTGAGGGTGGAGGGGCTGACGGGTGCTCGAAATGCCCATACCTTAGTGAGGGCCTGGTTGGACTCAGCAAAGTCCCCACCCGGCGTTCCCTGGAGGCAGTTAAGCTCAAGCAATCGGCTCCGTTCCTGAGGGAGAGCAAGTTATCACCGGCTAGCACACCGCAGACTCTGAACGCGCCGGCTGGCAGCCTTCTCTGGAGGGGCCGGAGCCGGGAGACATCCTGGGGTGCAGGGTGCCAATGGGATGCCCCAGAGGGATGTGAGGACAGTCGGACAGGTCTCCCAGGAGAACTCACCTGCGTCAGGGCCTGAAGGGCCTCCTCCTTCTTCCGGCTCAGCCCCCGGCTCTCAGCTGCCATCTGTTCCCCCAGCGACTTGAGCTGCTCCTCTAAGACCTGGATCCGGCGCTGCAGGGCACAGCCCAGGGCCCTGGTCACTCAGCCGCCCCGGGATTCCCAGCTGGCTCCCACAGAGCCTGGGGTCCGCTGCACCCCGGAACAGGGACCCCGGGACCTGGGTGGCCGGAAAGTGGCGGGGAGTTAAGTTCCCTCGTGCCCTCTTCCCTTTTGGGGGTCCAGAAGGGACATCGGGTGGTTTGTTGGGGTGGGGGGATGGAGGATCTGATGCATAGACAGACAGGGAGAGACAGAAACCCAGAGAGACCTGTGGAGAACAGACGGAAAAAGGGACAGAGAGACCAACCAGAATAGTTACAAAAAACAAAAACCAAGACAGTCCCCACAAGAGGAAGATACGAGAAAGGAGACAAGGTGCAGACAGAAGGGAAAAGAGAGAGTGACAGGGAGAAGATCCAGAAACGGAGGTGGGGGAAGGAGCCCCACACTGGAACTGGGTAGGTGTGGATCCCAGCTCCACCCTCTATAAACTGAGTCACGCTGGAAAAGGTTACTTGAGCACCTTGACCTTCAGTTTCTTCATTTATAAACCGGAAAAAAAAAAGTCAGAATGGCCTCCCCAGGTTCTTGTAAAGATTTGATGAGTAAGGACTCATGAAGCATTTAGGACCATGACTGGCCCATAGTAATTGCTCAATAAACATCAATCGTTGTTACTCTTGTGAAGATGGTGAGGCAGGTAGGGAAGGATGACAGAGGAAGGGCCAGACGTGGAATGGAGGAGTCAGAGGGCAGCAGTGAGGGACGGAAGGCAAGAGAGGGAGGGCAAGCCCTGTCCGACTCACTCTGTGCTGCGCCACACTGGCCTGGAGTTCCCGGACCTTGGGGTCCAGTGCCCGGGCCCCAGGGCTGTCCCGGTCCTCCTCCTCCCTCCGGCTCTCCTGCTCCAGCTGCTGGAACTCTAGGTCCTCGTAGGCACGCTGGGCCACATCCAGCTGTTCCCTCATCTGCGGGTGGGAAGGCAAAAACTGGAGGCCTGCACCCCTAGGGCCCGCGGGGGGAAGAGGGCTGGGGCAAGGAAGGAAGAGGAGCCTGAGGACTTAGACTCCCAAGTCCTGGCGGTTATAAGGCCTGAATGCCTAGGAGAGGGAACACGGTCCTGAGGAAAGAGCGGCCTGGATGCCAGGTCCCTAAGGGAACCTAGAGGAGCCTCACCTCCTGTACTCCTTGCAAGAGCCGCTCACGCTGCTCCTCTGGCTGGGAGTCCAGCTGTCCCTGGGCCTCCTGGAGTCTCTGGCGAAGACACTCTACTCGATCCCGCTCCTGGTTCAGCCGCCTCTGCTCCTGAAACAGCACCCAGGCTCTCAGCCTTCTCAGTCCAGCCCAGTCCGGACACAGGAAGAGAAACAGAGGCCCGCATGGGCCAGGCTAGCTGGATCTCAGAACCCATCTGGCTGCTGGCCCCAAGAGTGCAGGGACCCTGTCTGTCAAGCTCACTCTGTTTTGTTTTGTTTTGTTTTTTAAGATTTTATTTATTTATTATATATAGAAAGAGCGTGTGAGCATGTGTGACCATGAGCAGGGGGAGTGGCAGAGGGAGAGGGAGAAGCAGGCTCCCTGATGAGCAAAGAGCCCAATGTGGGGCTCCATCCCAGGACCCTGGGATCATCACCTAAGCGGAAGGCAGACGCTCAACCATCTGAGCCTCCCAGGTGCCCCTGTCTAGTTCACTCTTGTCCCAGTGGGGACAATCAGGGCAGTGAAACATAGAGACTACGGGAATCAAGAGTGGAGAGCACCTTCCTGGATGTGAGGGTTTTAAAATCAGCCTCAAAAATCAGGAACTTTTAGACCTGGGGAGACAGAGGGAGCTGGAAGAACATTTTGGACTGTGGGAACAGGGCAGCACAAATGCACAGTACTTGAAAAGCACAGGAAGTTTTGGGGGTAAATTCTGGTCAGAGGATAGAGGTGAGGAGCACAGAGGGGGGTGACAGTGGAAAGGCAGGCTTGGCGCAGCTCGTCTGGCTTGGCCAACCAAGCTAAGGAGTCCTTATTCCGGGGCAATGGAAGGACGAGAGAGGGAGAGAGAGATAGAGAGGTTGAGAGAGCAGAAAGAACGTGTTGACTGACCACAGGCTTGGGGCTGAGAGGGAGGGAGGTGTGCAGCAAGGCACCTGTTTTTAAAAACACCAACCCTATATCATTATCACACCTTAAAAATAAACAGGTTCTTAAAGAATTTACACACAACGTGTCTGGGAGCAGCTTTTAAAACAGGGTTAGGGAAGCAAACTAGGGGATATGAAATAAGAACGGGAAGATTAATTTTGGCAGAAGCCGGTGAGCACACCGCAGGGCCACCAGTCTGACTATTCTTTTTGTCGGTTTTACATTTTTCATGAGATGACATTTAAAGAGCAAAAAGGGAGGATCAAAGGAAGAGGCCCCAGAATCATGGTCTGGGAGGGAGGAGGAAAAGCATCTGCCCACCTCCCACTCCCCCAGCCGAAGGATCCCCATTTGGGGAATGAGGATGACCCTGGGCCTCAGGTCCCAGGAGCACCACCAGGAGTATCGGTCCCAAGACGAAGGAAACTGATGGTGAAGATCCCGCAGGAGAAACTGACCTGTTCCCGCTGCTCCCGGCTACCCTGCTCCGTGTCCCCCTGCTGTCCAAGCAGCTCTCGGAGCTGCTCCTCCTCGCGCCGGGCAGCCACCCGCTCCCCAGCCAGCTCGCCCCTCAGAAGGGCTACTTCCACCTCCATCTGTGGGGAGAATGTACGGGCTGGGGCCTAGAGGTCTGGGTCCGAGGAAGGAGGGCGCTGGGGACTCAGACACCTGGGTCCAAGTGGGGTGCCTGGGAGTATGGACTCTTGGATTCCCAAGGAGAGGGCTGGAGGCCTAAGAGTGGGATCCCGCTGGAAGAAAGGCCCCGGAGCCCGACCTGGAGAGCTCCCCTTGAGCTGGGGCCAGACTGCCTACGAGGTCCGCAGCCTCACCTCGATCCTCAGCTCCTTCCTCTGGCGCTGTAGCTCCTTCACGCGCTGCTCCATCAGGGCCACGCGGGTCAGTGCCTCCAGCTGCTGCTCTCGAAGCCGCCGTGCAGCCGCTCGCACTCTCTCCCCAGGCTGGGGGGATGCGGGGGGCGTGACTGGGGTCGGTGCCGGAGGCGGAGCCTCCCCCTGAGGTTGGAGGGGGCGTGGTCAAGAGGAGAGGCCCCGCCCCTGCAATCACCAGGCAGGTCCGTTCCCCACCGCATTCCCGGGTCTGGGGGTCTGATTAGCCCCAGTCAGTCGCCATCCCCGTTGACTGAAGTGGGTGCAGGTGTGGGAGACCCCCGGCCCGGGAGGAGGCCCAGGGGCTCGCAGTCGGGGAAGGGGGGTACGCGGCGACTCAAGGAAGGTCCCTTTTTCGCTACCCAGGTCCCATTCTCTTGGCATCGCGTCCTGGTAAACCTGGATCTCTCTCCCTCTCTCCCCGGGTCGCTCTGAGTCTTTCCCCTGTTTCTCTGGGTTTTGTCTCTCCGACTCAGTACCTGTCTCTATCTCTGAATCGCTGAATCTCCCTTAAAATCTCCGTTTCTTTTCTGAGCATCTCTGTCCTTTGTTTCTGGGTTTCTGTCTGTCCCTACCCCATCTCTCTGAGTCTCTGTCTCTGGTCTTTCTGTGTCTCTGTCTCTTTGGGGTCCTTGTCTCTTGGTCTCTCTGTGTCCAGGTCTCTATCTGGTCTCTACCTATCCCTCTGTGTCTCTGTCACCCGCTAGCGCCTGTCTCTCTGCCCCCCCCCCGCGACCCCCTCCTTCGCCCTCCAGGTCCCTCACCGCGTCGCGGCTGCTCTCCGTGCTGCTGCCTTCTTCCACTTCTTCCTCTTCCTCAGCCTGCTGCTCAGCTCCTCGGCCGCTCGGAAGCTCCTTCACTCCCTGGGGCTCCTCCGGGGCCTCAGGCGCCTCCGGCTCGTGTGGGTCCTCGGGGTGCATCTGGGACTGCGCAGCCCCTTGGGGCGGGACCTCCGCGTCGCCCTCTGGGGCCGGAGGCGGCCGGCACCCCCTGTCCGGGCCGCTCGGCGTCCCCATGGCCGCCTGGTGCTCCAGTGGAGTGGGCGGGCCCGAGTTCCGGGGGCGTGGCCTGACAGCGCGGCCCAGGAGGCTCCCGAGCGCTCGGGTGCTGGGAAAGAGCTCCAGGAGGCGGGGCCTGAGAGATCAAAGACTGGAACTGAGCGCTCCGGGGGCGTGGCCTGGAGTTTCTAGGGGCGGGGTTCAATGGCTCCCCGGGCGTCACACCCCCGAGGGCCAGACCCGAATTTGAGTTGGGGTCTTAGCACGCCCCCTACTGGCCTCTCCCTCCTACCCAGGTGTCGAGCCTTGTACCCTCCCAGCAACTCCCCAAGATCCCTTGGAGCACCCTGGAGCGACTCCATCTCCTTCTCCCTCCGGGACTCCGGCGTCCGGGATCCCGCACCCTCCTTTCCCGAGCCTGGTAGACTTGGCTCCGACACCACTGTAGGGGGTAGCAGCGTCCATGCCCTCTCACTCAGATCCAGGAGTCGAGGCTCCCAACTTTCCCTCCCTGAACAAACCAAGAGTCTGCGTCCTTTGCTCCTCCCAGGGGCTAGATTCCCAAACTCCAGCCTCCCTCCACCCCCGGGAGCCCAGAAGGCGGTCTCCAGCTCCCTCCTCCCCCGCAGCCCCGGCCTCCTCACCCGCTCAGGCTTCCGCGCGCTTCCCTCTGCGCTCTGGGCGCTGCCTTTTCTGTCTGCGGGACAGGTGGCTGGGGAAGAGGGAGGAGAGAAAAGCTGCTCTGTCCCCCTCCCCAGCAGCCCGGAAGTGGAGCGGGGGACAACAGGTCCAACAGCTCCCGAGGGAGGAGGGAGACCAGTTTGCCCCGCCCGCGGCCGCGGCATCCGGCCATCCCGGCCCCACCCTCGGAAAAGCCAGCATCGCGACCCCCTACTCTGCTTCCAGCACCGCGCCCCCCCCGCCCTGTTCCTGCCCCCTGGAGGGCTAGGCGTTTTCGTCACCTACATATGAGTGCTTCCCTAATGCCCAGACCCCGGGAATCCTGAAAGGAAGCGGGTAATGGAGATAGGGGCCTCTCCCCTCTAATAAGCCCTTTAGAAGGGCTCCGACCGGTTTGGGGAGCTGGGCAAGGGGAGGGGGTGCCCTGAGCTGAGTCAGAGACCCGCCCAGAGAAAGGGGAAGTGTGATCCCCCCCACTCCACTCTGCTATGGGGTGGAGGGCAGAGGTTAAAGGTCCCAGCCAGACCCTTTCCTCTCTGGGCAAAAACAGGAAAATTAACTGAGAAAGGCACGTGAGAAAGGATTATTGGATGTCCGGAGCTGTGCTAAACACTTGAAACACGTTCCTTTCATCCTTACAGTAGCCTGATGAGAAAGGGATTACCATCTCCATGTTATAGTTGGGGAAACTGAGGCCGAGGGGGATAAATGTGCCCAGAAGTCTAGACATGCTGTTAATCCCAAGGCTGGATTTGTTCTCTGGGAAGTCCATGTTCTTAACCATGGGCCACATTGTCCCTCTGGTGCTGCAGGGAAGTGCCTGGAAGATCATTCCAAATGATAGTGACAATAATGGTCACCACTGATAGGGCGCCTGCCATGCAGGCAGCGTGCCAGGCACCTCATACAGGCCGACTCACTGGATCATCACAACACCCTATTATTAGTATTATTTCCATTGCACAGATGAGGAACTTGAGGCGTGGAGAAGTGAAGTACCTTATCCTGGGTCTTATGGGTGCGAGTGGCTCCGACTAAGATGGCTCCAACTAAGATGGGCAAGAAGCCCTGCCCCGGATAGGTTTGTTTCTGATCTTGTGAGTTAGGAAAAAATCTCCTCCTTCCCAGCAGCCTGCTTCACCCCTGCTCTCTCCTCCCTGAACTCTTCAGCCCAGACACCTCAGACCAGAAAACCAGCGGAACCCTCCCCCCAAATAGACAGAAATACGATTCAGAGCAAAAAAATAATAATTTTTATTTATTTATTTGAGAAGCTCAGGGGCTGGTGAGGGAGGGGAAGGAGAGAGGCCTGGCAATGACACCTCTCTCTGTACCCCGCCTAGTGCATTCTTAACGGAAATGAGCACCTGACAAAACCAGGTCAGGAAGGGGGGGTCTGGATCCCACAGCGCATGTTAGCTGGAACAGCAAAGTCTGAAAGGAAAAAGGGTTGAAAGTAAGGGGCTCCAGCAGACCCCCTCATGCCCCACTGGGGACCCAGAAATCCAAGGAGCCCTTCTTCTTTGGAAAATTATAATTCTGGCCCTGAGCCCCCTCCTCCCTCAGACCCAGGAGTCTGGCCCCCAACTGCTCACCTATCTGCTGAGGCTTGGGCAAGTTCAGGTTGTCCATGACCTTGACAAACTCCTCACAGCTGAGGGTGAGCCGCGGGTTCAAAGTCCGCTCCTCCTCCACGGTGGACACTGTGAGCCCTAGTGGCCAAAAGGGAGGCGAGGAACGTCAACCTGGCAAGTGCCTGGGGCCTCCTTTGACTACATTTCCCAGGAGGCTTAGGGTGCATCTGGGGCCCGGGACTCACAGGCTCTTCCCAGACTGTCACAGAGACCAAGCTCTCCTCGATTAGCACTATGGGAAATGTAGTTTCCCACATTCCCTAAACTCTACAAGGAAGTCCCAGGAAAATGCATGCCCTTTGGAATTCTAGGACTCTTGTTTCTACACGAACACTTAGCACACCTAAACACTTGTTTTTTTTGGCCAGAGAAATTTCTGGGAATTGTAGTCTCCATGCCCCACAAGGACTACAGCAGTTTGGTACTCCCTCTCAAATGGATAGTTATGTAAGTCCCACACCTCCTCCAGGAAGCCCTCACCACGGTAATCATGAGCAGGGTAGATCAGACAGTCTCCTGGAAGCGTGAAGATCTTTTCGTGGACTGAGTGGTACAAGGTCTTAGCACAGCCTGGGGAGGGAAGACTCAGAGGTGAGTAAATCAATAGCAGAGAAGGTTTCTAGCCCATTCCCTCAAGAAGGGGTGGGAGGATAAAATCACAGTAGCTAAACCTTCTTCCTCATTTTCTGCCGGTACTGCTTTGTCTAGGCACAGAAAGAGAGGGAAGGGCATTCTAGACAGAAGGAACAGCATATGTGAAGAATTGAGGACTGGTGAGAAATTCACCATGGTGGTAAGTAATGTTGGGATGAGATCCAGAAGCACCAAGGAGTTGTGCCCTCAGCCAGGGGATGCCAAGAAAGGGTTCTGGGCAGGGAGGCTAAACTAGAAGGTAAGAAACTGAAGACATGAGCCCAAGGAGAAAAACGGTACCATGGTTCCAACAACAAAGCTCTGAGTCCTAAATTGGGTCGGGGGCAAATCTTTTTGGACCCTCCTTCCACCTTTCATTTCAAATCCTTCAATTGCATAACTGTGCCGGGAGTAGATAAATGGAGGACTAGAAGCCTCAGAGAGAAAAAGACAGAGACCAAGATGGAGAGATAAGGCGAGAGGAAGAGGAAGCAAGAGGCAGCCTGGGGATCTGGTCACACACTGCCAGCTCAGGGCTGTTCTGTCTTTTCTCTGATCTTGCCTTGCCCTCCGCTTGCAAGGCAGCAAAATCCTCCCAATCTAGTGTCAACCCCACATTCACCCACATGCACAGAGGACAGCTAAACCCTGAGATTTAAAACTGAGCTCCTGCGACACCTGGGTGGCTCAGTTGTTAAGCGGCTGCCTTTGGCTCAGGTCACGATCTCAGGGTCCTGGGATCGAGCCCCACATCACGATCCTTGCTCAGCAGGGAGCCTGCTTCTCACTCTCCCACTCCCCCAGCTTGAGTTTCCTCTCTTGCTGGTCTCTCTCTGTCAAATCAACAAAAATAAAATCTTTAAAACTGAGCTCCCTTCCCACAGTGAAACTCCTGAATCTAACTGCCCCCTCGCAGCCAAACCCCTGAATCAAACTCCACACCCTCCCCTGCCGCACCTCCAGCACCTAAACTCCTTATGGGGTTTAAAAATATGGCCACAGTGGGGGACGCCTGGGGGGCTCAGTTGGCTAAGCATCTGCCTTCGGCTCAGGTCATGATCCCAGGGTCCTGTAATTGAGTCCCACGTCAGGCTCCCTGCTCACTGGGGAGTCTGCTTCTCTCTCTCTCTCCCTCTCATGTCCCCCACCCCCACTCATTTTCTCTCTCTCAAATAAATACAAATCTTTAATAAAAAAATTAGTGCTTTTGTCTGCTTCTCTGTCTGTGTCTCTCTGATCATTCCCTTTGGAGAACGCAGCTGCCGTGTCATGAAGACAAATTACCCCCATGGGGAGGTCACTGTGGTGAGGAACTGAGGCCTCCGGCCAACAGACAGAGCCAGCTTGCCAGCCATGTGAGTGAGGCACCTTGGCAGCAGGCCCCCCGACCCCAGTCAAGCCTTAGGATGACTACAGCCCAGACGCTGAGCCGGGACCAACCAGCGAAGCTGCTCCCAGAGTCTCAACTCTCAGAAACTACGTGAGATAATGTCAATCCATGTCAATCGCTATTTAAGTCATTAAGGTGTGGGGTCCCTGGCTTCACAGCGACAGATAATGATACACCCTTGCATCTAACTGTCCCCCAACAAGCAAACTGCTGAATCTCCCTCCCATTTGCAAATCCAGGAATCTAATTTTCCCTCACTGTAGCAGCTAAATTTCTTCGATCTAATCCTGACCCCTAAAAGTCTAACACTCATTCACTCATTCTTGCAGCAGGTACTTCAAACCCTGGCACACACAGAACCATCCTAAGATCTCAGGCTAGGGAAAGGGGCCTAGGACCTTGCTGGAAATCCGTCCGTCCACACCCTCGGATGAGCAGGGCATCTCCAGTGAAGGCCATGCTGTGGTCATTCAGAACAAAGGTGACACAGCCTGGGGTGTGGCCTGGGCTTGCTCGGGTCTCCAAGGCCTGGTGGGGAAGGAAAATACAGTTACCAATAAGCCAAGAGCTCCAGCCTCATGATGAAACTGGCCCCAGAAGCCCCCATCCCACCCCAGGATCACATCTAGCTAGCATTGGTGGGGGTTTGTTAAATAATTAAGTTTGGGGCGCCTGGATGGCTCAGTTGGTTAAGCATCTGCCTTTGGCTCAGGTTGTGATGCCTTTGCTCAGGTTGTGATTCCGGGGTCCTGGGATTGAGTCCTGTCTTGGGCTCCCTGCTGGGGGGGGGCATCTGCTTCTCCCTCTGCCCTCTCCCCCTGCTTGTGCTCACTCGCTCTCTGTCAAATAAATAAATATAATTTAAATTAAAAAAAATTAAGTTAGATTCCCAGACTTAAACCTCATGTCAGGGTAAACTCCCAATGAATTAAACACTTAAAGCAAGAAAACTGGGGGTGCCTGGGTGGCTCAGTTGGTTAAGCCTCTGCCTTCAACTCAGGTCATGATCTCAGGGTCCTGGGATCAAGCCCCACATCAGGCTCTCTGCTCAGCCCGCCTGCCTCTCTGCCTACTTGTGATCTCTGTCAAATAAATAAATAAAATCTTTTTTTAAAAAAGCAAGAAGGGCACCTGGGTGGCTCAGTTGGTTGAGCAACTGCCTTCAGCTCAGGTCATGATCCCAGACTTCTAGGATCGAGTTCCGCATCGGGCTCCCAGCTCCTTGGGGAGTCTGCTTCTCCCTCTGACCTTCTCCTCTCTCATCCTCTCTCTCACTCATTCTCTCTCAAATAAATAAATAAAATCTTTTATAAATAAATAAATAAATAAATAAATAAGCAAGAAAACCATAAAACTGTGACAACAACAAAAATACAAACAAATATATATGATCTCTGGTTAGGGAAGAAGATTCAAATGTGATCCCAAGGTCATAAATCATTACAAAAAAATATTGATGGTTTGACTTTAAATAAATCTTAAGTTTCTGAGTGGCAACAACACCATAAACAAAAGTGAAATGGAACCAACAAGCTGACAAAATATATTTACGACATATATGCACCACACAGTGGTCAGTATACTTCATATACAAATAGAATCTTCAAATCAATAAGAAAAAGATAAGCACACTAATATAAATAGGGAATATCAAACACTCATTTAAAAGTATGTTACTGAGGGGCGCCTGGGTGGCTCAGTGGGTTAAGCCTCTGCCTTCAGCTCAGGCCATGATCTCAGGGTCCTGGGATCGAGCCCCACTTCGGGCTCTCTGCACAGTGGGGAGCTTGTTTCCTCCTCTCTCTCTGACTGCCTCTCTGCCTACTTGTGATCTCTCTCTCTCTGTTGAATAAACAAATAATATCTTTTTTAAAAAAAAAGTATGTTACTGAAATGAAATTTAATGATGTACACAAATATTTAATAACATGAAAAGACATTTAATATCTGGTAAGGGCTAAAAGCAAACTACAAAGTAACTTGTGTAGTGTCAATTTTTAAAAAAGAGGTTCCTTGTTCACTCAAAACATACTTTTTATCTTTAGGCTTTTCCTACATTAACTCCCCCCCCCCCGCTTTTTTTTTTAAACAGAAAGCATGTCATTTTATAATTAAAAATAAAACACAAGATTCAGGATAAACTAAAGATCTAAAATTTTAAAAACCAAAAGATTTCTAAAAGGAAATATGTAAGGGTATATGTAATCTTATATAAGGAGATGTGTGTGTGTTTATATATATATATATATATAAAATCTTGAGGTAGGAAAGGTTTTTCTAAGCATATTAAATTCAGAGGACATAGGGAAAAACAGTGACAAGAATGACCACATAGTTTAATTTCATTATAGAAAAGAACAAGAGTTAAAAGACAAAAAACTCAGAGACAGTATTAGCAACATGTATAAGAAAGTATTATAAAGTATGAATAGCCATCATATATAAAGAGCTCCTAAGCATCAGCAAGAACTTCCAAAAGAAAAATGTGCAAAAAGAAAAAAAAAAACAGGCAATTCATGGAAGAGGAAATAAATAGTCGAAAAAAAAATCTGAAACAATGTTTGATCTCCCTTTTAGGGAGAAAGGGAGAGAGATTTAAATTTAAAAACCCTTATTTTTCACCTACCAGATTGACAACTGTCAGAGTTGCTCAGCCCTCATGTTTCCTGGGATGTGGGTATGACTCAGTGTAGCTGTTTTAGAGGGCAAGTTTGCAATGTCTACCAACACCTCAAATGTGGACTCTGACCCCGCAAAGCTTCTGCTAAGACTCTACTATTAAGAACTTCCAACACAGGGGCACCTGGGCGGCTCAGTTGTTAGACATCTGCCTTCAGCTCGGGTCATGATCCAGGGGTCCTGGGCTCAAGCCCCGCATCAGGTTCTCTGCTAGGCGGGAAGCCTGCTTCTCCCTCTCCCACTCTCCCTGCTTGTGTTCCCCCTCTTGCTGTGTCTCTCTCTGTCAAATAAATAAATAAATAATCTCTTAAAAAAAAAAAAAAAAGAACTTCGGACACATGGGCAAAAATACCCACCCAGGAAATCCTCATTATGTAAATCCCCACACTCAGTTCAGGGAAGCAATTGTCAGAAAAAAAAAAAATGTTACCTTCATCATCTAAAAACCACTTATAAGATTAGTTCCCGGGCGCCTGGGTGGCTCAGTGGGTTAAGCCGCTGCCTTCGGCTCAGGTCATGATCTCAGGGTCCTGGGATGGAGTCCCGCATCGGGCTCTCTGCTCAGCAGGGAGCCTGCTTCCCTTCCTCTCTCTCTGCCTGCCTCTCTGCCTACTTGTGATCTCTGTCTGTCAAATAAATAAATAAAATCTTAAAAAAAAAAAAAAGATTAGTTCCCACTCACACAGCATTCCCCCCACCAGTTAGCATCCTGATCCAGGTCAGTCATCTGCTGAATACTGAAGGACACCAGGTACAGATCCTGTGTCCACACCTGGCATCCGTCCCACCCTTCCCCACTGATGGGTCTCTGGTTTGGTTCAGGGTATCAGTGTGCCCAGCCAACCACTTCCTTTCCCTCCGTGGTAGCCTGGGTGGCTTTGGACATGGTTCTCAGACCGAGATCTCAGGAGGTCTCCTGAAAATGTCTGGGAAAACTTCTCCCTGCCTGATAAAAAATGTTTGGCACCTCCCCTTCTCACTTTATTTGGTTCTGGACAAAAGTGTGATGGCTGCAGCTGCACCTTGCAACCATGAAAAAGAATCCCCCAAATGGGGCTCCTGGGTGGCTCAGTCAGTGAAGCATCTGACTGTCTTCTTCCAGACCCCCTGTTATGGGAGAAAACTGAACTGCCAAATATTTAAGCCACCGTATGAGTTTTTTAATTACTTTCAGCCAAACACCTTCTAACTCATATATCCGAGGATATATGTACAATGCAAAACAAATGCAAAGAAAATGATCTTGCAAAATGTTGTGGGAAAAAATCATAACCCTCCCGCCTAAAATTAACATAACCTTTTGGTGGTCAAGGAATGATCTCTCACTCCATACTCTCTGATTTTATTTTAATTTTATTTATTTTTTTGACAGACAGATTACAAGTAGGCAGAGAGGCAGGCAGAGAGAGAGAGGGGGAAGCAGGCTCCCCGCTGAGCAGAGAGCCCGATACGGGGGCCTCGATCCCAGGACTCTAGGATCATGACCTGAGCCTAAGGCAGAGGCTTTAACCCACTAAGCCACCCAGGTACCCTGATTTTTTTTTTTTTAAACAAAAAGCACGGGCGTCCTTTGAACCAAATATCGTGGATGGATATTCAGGAGTAATGTTGAAAACAGTTAATCACCAAAAACAAAAACAAAAAAGAACAAACAACCAGCTGATCACAGTTGTAGCAATGGGTACTGACCGATCAGAAGGACATCGGCTATAAACAACCAACAGTTAGACAGTATACATGGAATATATGGCACAATTAGAGCCTATATGTGGTGTACGTGATTGTCCATGTGTATAAATTGGACAAAATTTTAATATCAATTGAACAAGAACCCACTTGCCACATGGACTGAGACTCCCGAGACCCTGAGTCTGTGTAGCAAGTGGCGTTGCCGATGATCAGAATCCGTGTTTATCTGACCTTTCCTTTCTCTGGAATATCTAGCATCTATCCCCTGCTCCGTACCTCCCACAGTCCCGCCCACCTTGGGCCTCATCCTCTCCTGCTTGGACCAACCACCTGCCTCCGTCCTGGCCTACCAGCCTCCATCCATCTCCCACATGACCCTGAGGAGGGTTTCTACTGCCCAGATTCAGACCTGCTCCTCTCTGGTCACGACCCTTCCTTGGCTCCCACTGTCCTCCAGACAGAGTTCTGGCTTCTCAGCCTGACTTCTGAAACGCCCCTGTTCCAGTTCCTGCCCACCCGTCCAGCCCAATGTCCAGTAACACACCCAGCTACTCTGAAATCCACGGGTGTTTCCAGAAAGCACCAGGTTTATCCACACCTCCTTGCCCACACAATTCTCTCTGCTAGGTACACCCTTCCCTCTCCCATCGGTCAGGTCTGCTCATTCCCCAGAGCCCTGACATTGACTGACCCCTTCTCCTGTGCCAGGCTCTCTCCTAAGTGCTCAACATGATTAAACTCATCCAGTCCACACACATCCTTATGAGGCAGGTACCATTCCTGTTCCTGTTCTACAGATGAGGAAACCAAGGCACAGAATAAGAATGAGCAAACCATAACTAAATGTGGAAATACGGATGGATGTCACAGATAAGACAAAAAAAAAAAAAAAAAAAGGATGCTGGACACAGAAGAGCAGAGAGGTTGTGGAATGGAACAGAATGGAGTGGTGAGGGATGGGATGTGGGAGGAAGTGGGAAATCAAAGCGTGCCTGGTACACAGTACAGGGAAATGGTATTTCATGTGGAGGTTTCAGTCATCAATCCGGATGTAAAACAGCTATGTCTTGGAGAGGGCACATGGACTAGGAGTTACGAACAGCATCTGGCGCCAGGTGACATGGGTTCTAAATTTGGCTCTGCTATTTATTACTAGCTGT